CAGACCAAAAATTAATGCAAGTCTTACAGCAATGTTTTCTACTTCAATTCATGAAAGATTTCCCGGAATGGGAATTTTGTTTTGTGCTCTTCTGGACATTATGTGAGGAAAAAAAAAGGCAGGTAACCACTGAACAAAGGAGCAGGCTCAGTAATATTGTACTTTGCAAAGACAGAGAGGAGATTATTTTGAGTCATTACACAATCATTTTGGTTATGAAAACAAAAAATACCAGGTTCAGAGAAATTTATTCATCAAAGGCGAACGCATTATCTGAAAGGGACAAATATTATGCCAGAGTTCCTAAATATTCTTCCATATCTGTCAACTGTAGAAAGAATGTGTTTGGAAAACTTATTTTTTTCCTAAAGAAATATGAAGATTAGGATAATCACCACTAATACCAGCTAGAGAGATTTTTCACTTTTATTATTACAGCATAACTAATTCATTAAGTTATTACTATTTTTAAGAAATTAAAATAATTGTAAGCCCCATGTTTAGATTTAATGGATAAAATTGTAACAGCTGGGACCAGCACCGTGGCTCACTTGGTTAATCCTCTGTTGCAGTGCCGGCATCCCATAAGGGTGCCGGGTTCTAGTCCCGGCTGCTCCTCTTCCAGTCCAGCTCTCTGCTGTGGCCAGGGAAGGCAGTGGAGGATGGCCCAAGTGCTTGGGCCCTGCACCCGCATGGGAGACCAGGAGGAAGCACCTGGCTCCTGCCTTCGGATTGGTGTAGTGCTGGCTGTAGCGGCCATTTGAGGGGTGAACCAGCAGAAGAAAGACCTTTCTCTCTGTCTCTCTCTCTCACTGTCTAACTCTATCTGTCAAATAAATTAAAAAAAAAATTGTAACAGCTGGTAAATTTCTCACAGTCAAAAACTGTGTTTGTGTTCTGAAAATAATCATACAGGGAAATGTTCATCTGCACTATTTTACTTTCTCATGTACATATATTTCTCAATCTGCATCATGGAAGGGCACAGGGTAAAAGGAAGATGTGAGGTCTGCGCAAACATAACAACCAAAGGAATTCTCCAGTATGGGAACTCAGGATGAATGTGCAGTTTGTCAATATCTTCAGGTCTCTAGTGAATAACAAGAATGGCTCTCAGGATATTGCAACTCTGTCTGCTTCCACCAGAGATCATAATTGGGCTATGAATTTTTATAACAGGAAAGTCTTGCTGTCATAGACAGTCAAGGACAAAAAAATTTTACTAAATGCTAATAGAATCTCAAAGCTGTATGAGAAATGCCCATGAATATCACTTAAATATGCAGTGTCTTTATGTCCTTTCTTTTAATTTAAATATCTCCCATAGTTTACTTGTTTAGAGTTTCTAAAATAAAGCTTGCTTTTGAGGACTGCCCACCATACCGGTTTTCTGTCCAAGGACATGATGGGCAATTTGGGGAATTTAAGAAGCCAACTGAGGTGAGTAGAGGTGATTTATAAATCGAAACTAAGTGATAGCAGAAGACATGCACTAAAGCTATTTCTTCATCTGCAAAGAACTAATTGGGCACATTTCAGGCCAGGTCTCCAAAGACACAGCTCATGAACCCTGTCTTCCTGATACTGTGCTCATTACAGACACTCGACAGAGGATTGGTTCATTCTCGGGGAATTCCATCAAGATGGCCTTTACAATGATGCTGCAGATTTACCTCAGGAAGGAGAGAGAAGAAAGTAGTGAGAGGTTTTAGAAAACTAGCTGCTTACAGTCCTATTTGCCTGATGTCATTAACCTGAAACTGAAGAGTTTATTTCTGAAGTCTACCCTGCCTCACAGATTGACCTAGTGTATTTGTCTTTCTCTGTCAAATCGGACTTGATCCAAACCTTATTTGTTACCTGGTGGTTATTAGTGTTAACTTCAATTATTTGTTTTCCTGTCTATGATTTGATTTCAAAGACTGAATATACAATGTATGACTCACATGTTTTTCAAAAAATTCTTGTTGCCTCTAATACCAATATATTTTAATGATAATGATTAAAATGTTGTCTACACCTTATAGTCTATCCTCAATTATTCACCTTAATATTTCCAGGTAAAAAGAGATGTACTGCTCTTGTTTTTCCCTTTTCAACAACCAAATATCAAGGAAAAGAGGACATTGTTCAGTGTTATGTGTGACAAGATTTCTGAGTGACTTCAGAATCCCAAATAAATATATTGAAGAAGCAGCTTTGTAGGTTATATTTACATGGGAACTGGAAGCTAGGATTTGAGGTAAAACAATTTTCAGAGGGAGGTGGTAAGATTTGAATTCAAGGAAATCTCTCAGAATAAAGTGGCCTAGTTTTCAAGGTTTAAACATTTATAATTCAAACAAAGAAAATTTTACTGGACAATCACTCTAGAATTTTTCAATTATAAAATATGTTTCCAACCCATGAAAATAGTAGTGAAATTTGCTTTATCATTGCATGAGTATTATAAAATGTATGTTGTCCATAATAGCTCATCAATGAAGATATGATAAAAGCAATTTCTTTGTATTTTTTGAGCATTTGATTCTCCCTGCAAGTTTCAAATGTATATGGACGTATTCAGAAAATTCACAGAAAATGGTATTATGACAAACTATGGATAGATTTCAAAATTTTTACATTAAAATAACTTATCTTTTATTTCCATATGCTTTTTAAATTTATTTTGAACAAATAACTTATTCAGATGATTGTCTATTTATAAAATACAAAAAATATAGACATTGAGAGAAAAAAGGATCATACTGGCCACACAGCTCAAACCTTTACTTTTGCCACGTAAGGAAGTGGAGGTGATAGATAAGGGATCCTGGCCCTCATCTCCAAGCCCTGATGAAGGAAGAGCTCCAACTTGCTGATTTCTAGTCTGGTTCTGGTCACTCCTGCCTCTGCTGCATTTGGGTTATATCTACTTGAATGGTTTTAAAATTTTGTAAACATTTGATTGTAAATCGGTGTTTCTAATTTTTCTTTTAATGATAACATCAGACACTCCACATAACAGAACTGCAAATATCTTTTTCTGTTAGTGTACAAGGCATTTCTTCCTTTTGGGAGGGTTTTAAAGTGGCCATTGAGGGGTGAACCAATGGAAAAGGAAGACCTTTCTCTCTCTCACTATCTACTCTGCCTGTCCAAAAAAAAAAAAAAAAAAATAAATAAAAAATTTTTTCTTCAATAAGAAATTAAGTTGGAATCAAAGAAGAGAAGCTTACACTATAATTCAAGCATATCACATAGCAAAAATAAGTAGTGACATTGGGACAAATTTATATATGATTAAGTTTTAGTTAGTGCTCTTAGTCTAGATCTCAAGAGCTAAAAGATACCATTCTTAGCTTGACAAAATAATCCAACCCAAAAGATAAAGAATTAGAGAAATCCCCCCCAAAAAAGATTCACACATATTTCACACACACACACACACACACACACACAGAGTACATGAAACATATAATAAACTACATCTTGATTTGTAACCAAAGTGAATTTTATGCTGAATACTGAAAATGGATGCAAGTTCAGCCGTAAATTCAAATAAGAAATCTTAAATCGAATGAGGATAATTCCCTCTGGTGTATACTTGTCCTGTGTAACAGAAATTTTTGTCAGAAAATGTCTTCAAGTCAAGCAGATTGTGCAAAATGGAAACATTGAAAATGTGAATATACTCAAATAATGAACAGAATAAAAAGTAGAAAGAAGTAAACACTTTTTAAATAATGCATATCTTAACCTCCCTCCCCCAAAGTTCCATGTAAGAGGAAATCTGCATTGAAATTTTTATTGGATGAACTTCCTGATAGCTATTTTACTTCATTTTTTATGTTTGTTTTCTACATTTACAAATGGCAGTTTTTCCTAACAAAAAGTTACTTCTATTAAAGTGAAACAAATAAAGCACTTTGGTACTCACTGGAATATATATTCTATCTGTACACTGGAGATAACTTATTTCTTTAAAAAATGTACTTTAAAGGAACTGTAGTTACAATTAATGCTCAAGACAAGCATTATAATTCATGTTTTAGGAAGGTCCTAGGCATCTGCGACAATCCTACAACAGCCCCTCTGCTAAGAAATGCCTAGCTCCTAGGCTGAGTTAGGGTGAAAGGAGCCAGTCCTTAGCTAATAAAACCCAACTGGGGGGGGGGGGGCAGTTCTCTGTCCCTACTGCCTGAATTGCTTCACAACAGTTGTCTTGAATTCATTAACATCCAGATTTTTAACTCTCTCCTGCCTTTTCCCTGGTGAGCAATTCCCAACTACCTGCGTCTAAGCCTGGGCAACAGCCCCTAGTCTGTCTGCTTGAGGCAGAGCCTTCCTGGCACCGTGGGGAAATCCACTGCTACTGTACCTGCAGGAAACTGGCGGACTTTGTGATACACACTGCCAGAGAGCTACCTCTACTCACTCGCTGACTTACTCCCTGATCTCGCTCTGACAGAAGCTCTGGGGATTTGAGTAGGTTTGTCTTGTAGCTCAGTCTCTCCCTTGCAGTCCTTCTATTTTGTGGCGTGTTTGGCACGTGATAGGTAACCACTAAACATACTTTGAATGGGAGAGGGTTGTGTTTACCAAAAGGAGTTAAAAATTACAGGTTTTTCTACATGTGTCCAGCAAAAACGATAAAGGGAAAAAAGTGTCAGATTATTATCATGATGGTTATTAATGTTTTTAACCAACCTTTCGGAATTCCACTGGCACTAACCAGGCAGCTAGCAGGGAAATGCAGGCTGGAGGGTAAAGGGTGCCCATTACCCCCAATCAAGAGGAGCACAGCCTCAGGTCACGATCCAGGACAATCCCTCAGGTCCAGACAGGGGCTGCCTGCCCACCCGCGGACCCTGTCCCCCACTGCCCTCTGTCTTCGCAGAGCTCTGGAGCATGCCCAGTGGCCGCGCCGGAGGCATCGAGGGCTTTTCACGGGTGCACTCCGCTTCTCCGGGTTTTAGCAGGAGCCCACGGGGGGCGGAGGGGCTGGGGGGACCCGCGGAGCCGGGCTGCATGGGCAGTGCGAGTGGGGAGCTCGCGCGCCGCGCAAGGCTCTCTCCCGCGTTGCGGTTGCTGGGGCGATGCTGGAGCGCGGCTCCGGGCTGCTCCACCTGGTGCTCTGAGCGCCGCGCCGGGAGCCCCCAAGGGCGGGCGGCGGTGCGAGCGGGCGGGGGGCGCGGACTGCGGTAGAATGCGAGCCAGGCTCCTCCCGCGCTGCGAGACGCCGCTCCAGCGCGGTCAGGTGCCGGGAGCCCGCCGCTCACCGCTCCACTAACTTGCCACTTGGTCGCCTCTGCCCCCCGAGGCTCTCTGCGCTTCGGGGAGGAGGGGGCAAGGGGAGAGGGGAGTTAGCGGGTCTGCGGTAGCCGGAGGAGATACCGTACACTGGGGGAGCTGCTTGCCGCCGCGCTACTTCCCCTCCCCGACGCTCCCCTCCCCCCACCCCGTCGCTCTGCCTTCCGCCAATTCTGGGAGAGAGACGGGCGCCTGTGACATGAGACCGCTGCCAAGTGACGGTCCCCGAGTCTGAAGTGCCCGCGAGGAAGTGAGCGCCAACGCGGGCCGCCAGCGATGACAGCCATGAAGCAGGAGCAGCAGCCCACCCCGGGGGCCAGGGCGAGCCAGGCGCAGCCAGCGGACCAGGTGAGAGTTGGCGGCTGCGCCCAGGCCCTCCGGGGAGGGGAGGCTCCAGCCCGCGTTTCCCCCGCCTCTCCCCCACCCGGCTCGGCCCCCACGCCTCCTTCTCCCCACCCTCCCCCCCGCCCCAGTTCCAGGCTCTCCTCCGCTCATCCATGGACTCCGCAGGAACTTAGAGCATCTTAGTGCGCTCCGGGGCCGGGAGAGAGGATGCGCAAGGTGGAGAGCCGCGGGGAAGGGGTGAGAGAGGTAAAGGCTGGGGATGCCCCGGGGAGCCCCCCGGCGGGCGGGCCACCGGGGGAGAGAGGTGGCCCGGCCAGGGAATGTGGTCCCGACTCCCTATTCAAGAGCGCCGGAGGAATCAGACGCGCTCCTGGAGCCCTCTACTTGCTGTGATCCAGCCTGATCGGCTGGGAGCCGGGGCGCACGCTGGCCGAAGCGACCCGAGTCGGCAAATGACCTTTAGGCCGGCGGAGTTTTTTCTTTGCTTTCCCGTTTTCTTTAGAGGAGAGGAGGGTGAGGGGACCGGGGCGCGGGGTGGGGGTGGGGGTGCACCGGGCATCTGTAGTCTGCTGAGTGAAACGGAGCTAAGGGGAGCAGGAAGGCATTCGTTATGAAGGGGGAGATGGGAAAGCGGTCGCTGTGGTGATTTGTTGGGTCTGGCTTGCTGTGTCTGCAGAGGTGAGGTCCCCCGTGCTGCCTGGGTTATTCTGGTCCCCTGTCAGTCCTTAGGCACCCGCCACCTCCTTTTTGTTACAGTCCCCAGGGTACTGTAGCATAACCGTGCGGCAGATCCCCATCTTGTCTGTGTTCCTGGACTGGGGGGGGGGGGGGATCTGGGAGTTCCGTGTCGCTTTTTGCCAAAGTTGGAGGGTCGGAAGCGCCCAGGTGCCCTGGTGAGGAGGAGGGAGGCTGCGATAAGCCGGCTGCAGGTGCGATTATGTTGCCATCAATTAGAGACTCCCGGGCTGAGAGAGCTGCACTTAGGTCAACGGGTAACCAGGAAGCTGGAGGGCCCAGGCACTGGGGTACCAGGAGTGGGGCTCCTTGCCCGAGTGCGTCGTCCAGGGCCGCCGCCAGAGGCGTTCCCGGCAGAGACACTCCCAGCTCTTCGCCAGAAGTGGGGCGATGGGGTTTCAAGCAGCTCGGCCCCCGCAGCGGCTCGGCTCTTCGCGGATGCTAAGCACTGAAGAGCATGTTGAGGGAGCTGTCCAAATCTCCCAGGAGTGGCAGCGAGGCGGTGGAGGCGATGCCAGAGATGCTGGTATTAATATTCCAGTCTTGGTCATCTTGCCTAGCTTGTGGTCTCTTTTCTCCCTGTCTCTTCCCTTCTCATTTCCCTCACATACATTTCACACAGGTGGTGGGAATTACTCAATGTCTTAAAGCTCTCTCTCCCTTTACAGGGGCAAGGACGATACATGTTGCAGTTTTTACAAAGCATTTGTTTTCTTAAACCATCTATTTTTGCTCTGTATCCTGTGATAAGTACAAAAATCCCAAGATGTTAATTGTCTTTCCCTTCCTCTTGTGCCCATCTCCCCATACAACACAAGGTAGAAACTAGTATGTATGTGTGAATGTATGTGTATAATATATAAATTATATATAATAATTTTATATATACATATAATTTATGGACTGGAGTGTAGATTTAATATCCTCTTCCAAGCAGACTGCTCTTAAATTTCATTAACAAGCCCCTGAGCCTTTCTACCGCTTTTGGAATGATGCTACCAACAAGAATGATTAGTCAGATGAGAGTCCCCATGTGAAACCTTTGCTCACTAACCTGTGACACCAGCTGGTTACTTGAGGTGCTGCAAACAGTTCAGTGATGGTGGAGGCAGGGAGGTAGATACAAGGCAGAGCTAAAAATGTACAAGTCAACTGTGGACAAGTTGTATATGCATAGCAAGTCCTTTAGTGGGGAGGAATCTGGAAATTAAAATTCATATGAGGAATAGATTCAAGCTTGAATCCATTTTTTCTTGTTAGGCATTTTTTTTATGTTCACTACAAGTATTTGGGGAGTAGCCATTTGCAAAATTAATGATCTAATTCAGTATTTTTAAGTCAGTTTCTGAGCATGTACATGATTTTAAAATGTCAGTGGTATTCATTTTGTAAGAGAGATCAATTCAAATATGAGAGACTGAGTCTGCACGGGGAAAGAAAGTCAGAGTGAAATACACAGGGAAGCATTCCTGTGAGATTTTTTCAAGTGCTCCCAGGAAATACCTAGATCTAGCATTCTTTGTTCAAAGCTTGACATATGAAATCATGGCTAAATAATGTGGACGATTGCTGTGAATGCTCATCCTACCTTCTGTAAGACTTTTTTATGCACGATATTGGTCATCACAGCTTAATTCTACAATTGACACAAAACTTTCACATAATACCAGATATAAAACCTCCATAAAGATGTGACTAATTGTATTGGTTTCCATGATATTAAAGGAAAAGGTCTCACAAACTTAAATGAAAATGTACCTTTATGAAATTCTACCTAGTGATTAAATAGGGAGCATGTTCCATCTAATCACTCACTCTGTATTGATTTTGAATGATTTAAGCCTTTGAATGTTGTCAAACTTGTCTTTCACTTTCTGTGGTTGAGATTTTTATGGAACCCTAAAGAAACTTTGTCCTGAGCCACAAACAGCTACCTCCACCTACAGCACAGAAGAAAACCATAGTCTTTTCTCTGTGTGAGCATGTTTATGAATCATATAATTTGGTTATTGTTACAGTCCTGTAGAGGGCTTGCCCTTCCTGTTCGTTTATTTGTTACTGTCCTCTGCCACAGAGTGCCATGGCCAGAGGCAGCCCTTCCCAAGGGTCCAATAGCAATAAATATGGCAGGGACTGTATACTTTTATGACTATTCTGAATCATTGAATATACTTTTTTATTATTTAATGATCTTTCTTTTAAAGCTTCATTGATTAAAAAATGTCTACACAGGTATGCTTTGTTTTCATAAAACTATGCATTGACAAGAGTAGCTATAGTCATTTCCACTTAACGGGATCAATATCCCATTTTCCATTGAGGTGTCCAACATCTCCAGTGGCTAAATATAATTTATTATTATTTTAAAGAATTACCTCCTGAATACTTGCCACATACACAGCGTTGTTCTGGGCGTTGATATGGTAACATTTATTGAATGGACTTGGCTTTCTGATGCTCAAAAAAGTTTTTGAGGAGTATACTGTTGCTATCCCCAATTTAGAGATGAGAATACAGAGGATTAAAGAAATCAAGCAACTTGACCAAGCTTGTCTTCAAAAGTGATGAAAGTGAGATTCAGCCCAGATCCCATTTAAGTCTAAAGCTTCACCTCCTAAATTCTACACAATCACAATAGAACAGATTCCTATTATGAGAATGAAAAATAACTGCAAATAGTGTGTATGTGTGTGTAGGCACGAATTTACCTTGAATGTAAAATGGATGAAAAGTTTGTTTAAAGCTTCAACTAAAAATGTAAATAATTATTCTTGAAACTTTGAAGTTAATATCCTCTTAATTCATTTGAATAATACCAAAAAAATTCAAGAAGAACCTCATAAGTACATAGGGAATTTTTAAAAAAATCTTTGTATCATTTGCTTTTCATAAGAATGAAACTCAAGTTTGTTAAATTAAGTACTTTTTTTTTGGTAAGTCAGAGAAAGCTTAGATCCTGCTAACATTTCCACCAGATGGCACCATTCTGCTGAATCCAGTGGGTAAAAATATTGCCTTAAATACTTGACTGTCCTTTCATCTCCAAAAACCAAACCAAAACAACCACACAAAAACAAAACATTAAAAAAAAACTTACATTCTAGAGTATGACTAAATGGTATATTTTTAAAAGCAACTACTTGGCTGCAAAGATAGCATTAATTATAGTTTTCTTTAAAACATGCAATTTTGTAGAAAACCAATACCTTACAATTGAACATCATAGCATTAGGTCTATTATTTTAACATTTTACAGCCTATCACATTTTTCAGTACACAAATTTTTATGATTACATATGAATTTGTGCATGCATGTGTATATTATTAGTTTTGAAAATCATGCCTAATTAGGCAGACATCCAGGATTCAAAATATGCTGTTCCATCCTTCTTTCCTTTCAATCAAAACTTGTTTCGGGACTGGTATGCCATGGCTCACTTGGTTAATCTTCCGCCTGTGGCACTGGCATTCCATTTAGGCACCGGGGTCTAGTCCCAGTTGCTCCTCTTCCAGTCCAGCTCTCTGCTATGGCCAGGGAGGGCAGAAGAGGATGGTCCAAGTGCTTGGGCCCCTGCACCCACATGGGAGACCAGGAGGAAGTACCTGGCTCCTGGCTTCGGATCAGCGCAGCGCCAGCTGTAGCGGCCATTTGGGGTGTGAGACAATGGAAGGAAGACCTTTCTCTTTGTCTCTCTCTCACTGTATAATCTATCTGTCAAAACAAAACAAAACAAAAAAACTTGTTTCTTTACTGTCCTACCCTGTAAGGGGTCAGGCTGAAAGTAAATACTGGCTACTGAATACATCACATGTTGTTTTCAATGCAAAGCACTTCATAAGAAAATTAACATTAGAGAGAGGATATTGGAAGAAAAGAGAGATGTATTAAAGCAGAGAGTGAAATTTCAGTCCAGATAGCAGGAAAATTGCATTGCAGTGGAAACTTTAGGACTCCAGAGAGGGTGACCTTAGGACTTTTAATGGTGTGTATGTGGGGGCATGGGTAGATTGGGCTAGGAATAATTCAGACGAGTTGTTCACACAAATTTGTCTACAGATATTTCTATGCAACACTTTAACACACATGCCACTTGTTGATATTCCAACTATTAAACCTTCTACTACATATATTCATACTTGCAGAATTACTTTGTGTGTTTTCTAACCAATTTCACATACTACTTCAACTTTATAATAGGACATGTACAAAGATGAACATCAACCAAGACAGTTTAGAGTTTTTTTCACATCTCAAGACTTGTATGAGG